ATCTCCCCACTCCCCTCTGGTTTGTTATTGTAGGGTCACGTCGGGACACCGGAGAGTTCCGGCCTCAACCCCGATGTAGAGAGACGGCAAACGGAACTACCGGGGGGTAGGAGAGCCCTGTCCTGGGCACCTCCAACACCCCCCCACCCGGGCTCCTGCCCAGCCCCGCCCCACCCCAGCGCCCCCCGCTCTCACCCCCGCAGATGAGGCAGATGGCGCTGAGCAGCCCGGTCTCCGCATCGTCCATCTCCAGCGGGAGCAGCTGGTTGGCGAAGGCAAAGACCAGGTCGGTGAGCGGCCCGAACCCGGCGTTGTGCATCTGGGTTCGGTTCAGGGTCAGCCCGTCCGAGAAGGTCATGGTGTCCTGCTCCGGCGTGTAGCGTGTGCAGATCCGCAGGATCTGGGGGGGGGAGAGCTAGGGTGAGTCCTGCCCCCCGTCTCTGGCACTGCCCCCCAGCACCAACACCACTGCCTCTTGCCCTGCCCCCCGTCCTCCAGCACTGCCCCCCACTGTCCCCTCTGTCCTACGGCACTGCCCCCCCACTGTCCCCCGGCACCAACACCACTGCCTCTGGCCCTGCCCTCCAGACCTGCTCCCCTCTGGCCCTGCCCCCTGCCCTCCAGCACTGCCCCCCAGCACCAACACCACTGCCTCTGGCCCTGCCCCCTCGCACCAACCCCACTGTCCCTTGCTCCTCTGCCCCCAGCACTGCCTCCCAGCCTTGCTCCCCCACTACACCCCAGCCCTGCTCCCCACTGCCCCCTGGCACCAACCCCACCCCATGCTCCCTGGTCTGCCCCATCTGTGCCCCCGGTACAACCCCCAGTGCCAAGAACCAGCCCTCCAGGGGACACTGCCCCCAGCTGGCCAGGCAGGGAACAGCACGGTGGGGGGCTCACCAGGATGTCCAGGCAGGCGGCCTTGAGCAGGGTGATCTGGTCAGCGATGGTGAGCGTGGTGAAGCCGGGCAGCTGCTTGGCGAACTCCACCGTCTTGATGATGCACTTGGTGGAGAGTTCACTGAACTTGTCCCACAGGTCGATGTCCAGCGAGACCCGCTGCTCCGAGCTGTTGTTCTGCAGGGATGCGCCGGACATGGTGAGCGGGAAGGGGAGGGCCAGGGGCCGGTTCCACCAGCTCCTCACCCCCACAGGGGGCCCCCGGCATGAACAGCACCCCGCCCTCGCAGGGGGAAACTGAGGCACGGGGTGGAGAAGCAAGTTGTCCAAGGGCATGCAGCGAATCAGGGACAGAACCCAGGAGTCCTAGCTCCCAGCCCCCCGCTCTCACCACTAGACCCCATTCCCTTCCCAGAGCTGGGGAGAAAACCCAGGAGTCCTGGCTCCCAGCCCCCTACACTTTTTGCACCCCCGGCCAAGGCAGCAGGGGGCTGGGAACACAGAGGAACGCATGGGGCACTAGCAGGGACATCAGGGGCCGTAGGGCCGTGCTCACAGCTGGGGGAGTGAAGGTTCCTAGATGCAGCCTGGCCCCCCGGAGCTCCAGCCCCACTTCCGCTCACCCTAATCCTGATCCCAGCCCCCGAACTGCCGCTGCTCCTCACTCCCGACGCCTCGTGGCAGCGTTTCCCGGAGGTCGGGGCGCCGGGCCAGGCACTCACCGTAGTGTATTTGCCGAGCTGGCAGAGGGCGGGGAAGGTCTCCTGGTGGGCTTTGCGCACTTTCTCAATGAGATCCTCCACCTCGGGCGTGAGGATGTAGCTCTCCGAACACTCCTGCTTCGGCGCCTCCTTCTTCTTCTTGTTCCTGTCGTTCCGGACGGCTGGGGGGGGGGGAAGAGGGCAGGCGAGTGAGCGGGCCGGCCCCGATGCCCCTCGGCGCCCCCTTTCTAACTGCCATGAGGGGTGGGGTCGCTCCCTGGGTCCCCCCCAGCTCTGAGAGCTCAGTGATCCAGACTGCGGCGGGCACCGGGCGCAGCCCCTCAGGGCGTCGGTATCAGCAGCCTCCCTAGCATGGGGGGCGGGGCCGGGAGAGAAGCCGGCTTGCCAGGCTCCGGAGTGGGGGGGGGACCGACACAGACAAAGCTATCGGCTTCACCTCAGCCTAGCCCCACTCGCCCGTCCGGGCCCCAGCTCAGCACCTGTCTCCTGCTTCCCCAGCACGGGGGAACGCGGATCCCAGATACGCCCTGGAGGCAGAGAGACCCCGCTGGGCCGAGCCGGGGGGCTGTATGGGTGGGGGGGAGTCCCACTGCTCTGTGTCTGGTGAGGACCAACAGCAGACGCTGCTGTAACTCTGCAGACCTGGCCAGGATCGGGGCCCCACTGCGCTGCCCCACAGCAAGACACAGGCTGTGCCCCAGGAGCCCCCAGGCTGCACAGATCCAGGCCCAGTGACCAGCCCCACATAGCAAGTGGCAGAGGCAGGAATTAAACCAGATTCCCTCAGTCGGATGCCCTAACCACTAAGCCAGCTTGCCCGTGCCCTGTACAGAACACACCCGATCTCCTCCCCTGGGGGGGGCGAGCACGGCCGGTTGGGCCAGGAGCTAGCTGGGGTGTGGGGTGAGCTGGAGGGTGGGGTTAACGTGGGAGCTGGGGGCGGGGCGACTGGGGGGGCTGAGTTGGGGAGCTGGGCGAACGGGGAAGCTGGGAGGGGCAAGCGGAGGAGTAGGGGGGGAGCTGTGGTGAGCTAGAGGGTGGGGTTAGCGGGGGAGCTGAGGGGTGGGGCAAGCAGGGGGCGGGGCAAGCGAGGCAGCTGGGGGCGGGGCAAGCCGGGGAGCTGGGGGGACCTGGGGGGGGGGGGCAGTGGCCGTCAGGAGGTTGGCGACGGCCGAGCCCCGACGAGCCAGACACACC